CACGCAGACATAGAAGACTGGCATGCAGACATCAGATTGGAGGGGGAGGAGGGAACCTACGCTTGCCGACTGTGTTCCTAACGGGCTCACCCTCTCTATCTGCGCGTCTCTTGTGCACATAGAGCTGCCCCCGCTGCTCCAGTTTACACGCATTTTTCGGTTGCGCTTCTCGCTCGCGGTTCGGAAACGAGACAGCTAAACCCTTTCACGATATCGCCACACCCTTCCCTCTCCCCGACTCGCTGACAATCAGGTGTCTGTTCTATCCTACGTCCCCCTGCCCACCCGCCCACCTGCGAATAATTCTTTCCCGCCCGCTCATGATCACCACGACCCTACGCGACTAAAACAGAACACTCCTGGCGAGACAGGACCGGGGGACGTGTAAGTGGGAGGGGGCGGCACAATCGTAACGGTGTGATGCTTGTAAACGTGATTTCCTGGTGTAGACAGACTGTGTGACAGCAGACTAACACTGCCTGCCGGCAAGACAGGTGAGAGAAGGAAGGGGGGCAGGCGGTACAATCGTGATAGTGTGATGCTGCTGCTGCTATTGCTGCTGCTGCTGCTGCTGCTGCTGCTGCTGCTGTTGCTGCTGCTGCTGCTGCTGCTGCTGCTGCTGCTGCTGCTGCTACTACTACTACTACTACTGCTACTACTACTGCTGCTGCTGCTACGCCCGACTCTACTGGACAGGTTCATCACGCGAGCGAGCGCTCACATAACCTGTTCTGTAGTCCTCCTCCGTTACAAGCCAGAAGTTGCTGACTGGTGGTGAGCAGCCGCGCCAGGTCATCTAGTCGCATCCCTGACGCCGAGGCGCGAGCAACCACTCACGGCCGCCAGCTGTTAATATCTGGCCAATTCAAGGCCAGCCAGTCTGGGATGAGACTTTCAGACGAGACTGGTGGTGACCCCGCCAGACAAACACCCCTGGGGGATGTAACCAGCAGACATCGGGGTCAAACAAGCACCTTAACCCTTTCTGCACGGATTGAACATCCTGCAACTAAACACTGGCACTCGCCTAGCCCGCTCGCATTCTGAAGTCGGGGAGAGAGAGACAGAGCGAGTGTGAGAGAGAGAGAGAGAAAGAGAGAGAGAGAGAGAGAGAGAGAGAGAGAGAGAGAGAACGAGAGAGAGAGAGAGAGCGCGAGAGCGAGAGGGAGAGAGAAAGAGAGAAAGAGAGAGAGAGATCGGCCGCACAGGGTTGTAGTCGTGTGAGGATTGCTGCTACTGTGACACAGAGCCGGATGAACCCTGTGCGACAGTGACAGCCCTATAGACCGAAGGTCCGATAGACCGAAGGCCCGATAGACCGAAGGTTTATTCGAATACGCAGTGGCTACACGTCCGGAATCGGTCGCCTAGCCTCCAGGCTAGGCATCCGGACATCCACTGATGCCGTATTCGAACGTGAATATGCCGCACATCCACCGATGCCACTATAAATCATATGATGCCACTACAAACCATATATATGCCCTAACCCTAACCCTAACTGTAACCCTAACCCTTTGCAATATTCGGTCTATCGGACCTTCGGTCTATAGGGCTGCCCCCGTGAGACCTGAGGTGACCTGTGTGACAGGGCTAATCCGACTGACTGTGTTGACAGCAAACCAGCCCTGATATCATGTGTAATATAGCTAGACTGTGTGACAGCAAGCCAGCCCTGTCACGCAGACGTAACAGACGCAGGCGGTTGCACGTGGGAAGCTACTCTGACAGCGTGCGCGCCCGCGCCCGCGCCCGCACCCGTCTGCCCGCAGCTGTTCAACCCTGACACATACGTGCCACTCAAGCCCTCGTCAAGTGGCGAAGGTTTTATGTCTGGAGGGGACAGATGTTAGTAACTCTGCTACCTGGCGGCTTAGCTATTCCCTCGCTTTCATGCGGAATAAATAAATGTGGTTTGTTTACATCAATCTTAGTGCAGCGCGTATAAACACGGGCGACTAGTGGTGAACATATTAAGGTAACCGCATGTGTCTTGTGAGACATATTTGAAATATAAATTAAAATATTATCGGAACTTCAAAACTGACGAATGGTGAGCCTCCCATAAAAGTAAATCCTTTCAAATCGAAATAGAGAACGGGTAAAAATTAGTGTAGCTAATAAACAAGGCACGCAGTGAAGAATATTAATGCAAGTAAATGTGTCTGATCACGCATTATCAAAATTTCACTGTAAAATTTCAAAATGATTTTTCTAATATACTTCATAGCTTACAGCAGCACCTGGTGGCAGAAATGTGAGTTTCAGTTGCAAGAAATGTAAAATTACAATCGTCTCACTAAACATAAACGCTCTACTTGAAATCCGGACAACAAACGAGAGAAATTACAGAGAACAGGAAACAAAAAGATGTACCTTATTTTAGGAGCACACAAAATGTCCCTCGTGTTACCTAGTGGAGGGTATCAATTACAAAGGAAGCAAAGAATGCATGAATCCGCGGTAACAATGAGACCTTTGAAATATCCCATGGCGAGTGGCTTACACAAAAATTACTTAACCTACCGTATGGGACAATTTTATGACATCAATAAAAAATGCTAGCAGAAAACAAAACGACGCTGCGAAGACTGCACACGTCATGTGAAAGAGGAGAGCCCGAATGTTGCTTGAGCACAAGAGTACTTCAACCGTAATAAAAGAACATTCATGCGCCCGATTACCTGTTGTTACGGCGAGCAGCGGTTAGCCGTCTGTGCGCGTAATGCAGCATGCCTCCCAACGCTAGGTCACAGCCCAAGCATACCTACCATTTCGCATTCGCTGAATGCCAGGCAGTTGACACCATGACCAATATTACGAATGTGAGCTAGCTGTCTGTGTGTGCTAGCCACTTAACCTGCCATGCATGCTTGTGGCAGCATACTAGATATGCAGGTTTCTGCGGGATTTCCGAGATCGAGAAAGAAATTAGTACCCACTTTTGCGACCACAGTAAAGATTTAAAATTAGGTGTTTGAGGTGACACTAAAATCATATCAATCTCAGCAAGTAATGGGACTAGAAGCTGCTCACACGAGTTTGATAGAGAAATGTAATGAAAGAAAACAGAGGAAAACAACACAGAGAGAGGGGGAAGAAATAACGAACGGGAAAGGAATGCGTGAGAGAGGAGCAAGACCGAGAGAGAGAGCGAAAAAGAGAGAGAGAGAGAGAAAGAGAAAGAGAGAGAGAGAGAGAGAGAGAGAGAGAGAGAGAGAGAGAGCAGGGAAAGCAAGAGTACAAGTTAGAATGAGCCAGCATGATTTGTTAAGTACCGCTTCTGTAAGGGTTCATATTTTAACGACCATATCTGCTCTTGCCCGCAGGAGGAGGAAAACTGGACACACTACACATACTCTGATGTGAACATTAGGCCTGCATCTGAGGAAACAGTCTCTCATCCATTTCCTCGCCCAATTTACTGATGCACAACAATCTTCACCATCTACAGCCATGCAGCCCCTACACCGTCTCTCTCTCGATCTCTATATCTCTTTCTCTCTCTCTCTCTCTCTCTCGCTCTCGCTCTCGCTCTCTCTGTCTCTCTCTCTCTCTCTCTCTCTCTCTCTCTCGTTTTCGCTGGAATCAAAATGAAGAGTTAGTCTTATTTTGGCTGAAACGCTGTTATTATGACTATAAGGCTTATTTTGACTGCATTTTTTGTGAAAAGGGAAGCCAGAATCAATAGGTACAGCAGCTTGTTATTTTGGCTGTTCTTTACACGAGGGGGGATGTCCCTTTCAGCCTGCCAGCTTCGAATGCCCACACTCTTAACGACAATTGAGATATGCACACCGTGCGAGCATCCATTACAGGGAGCATGCTATAATAAACGTGATAATAGGAGTTTCTAGTTTTCATTTGGCATTATCACCAACCAATTTTGTACAACTGTAACAAAATCCATCTACATGTATCACCTTTCATGACAGTGATATATAACCATGCACCATTTATAACCATCAGCAGCTGTATGGCGATTCTGTGAAGTACATTGACAAATAGGCAGATCTATGACACACAAAGATCAAACTCAAGAGCTGGAAATAGCCTCGCAAATTTCCCATACCTGCCTTTTGATGGAAATGCAATTGGCGGATGTGCATTCAGTATGAAGACTACTATCTTTTAAAAACGCGGGAATGACTACTACACTAGTGCCGACTACATCACGTTTTACATACGATGCAAAAAACTGACAAAAATCAGTTTCCTTACACCAGGAGTTAATAATGACAAATTGTCTAATATTGTGTCTAATATTGACAATTTGTCATTATTAACTCCTGCTTGCACTGGTAGAGGGAATCAGCAGCTTACCCGCAGAGTACTTACCATGCAAGGCTATCATCAAGGCTATATTTTGTAAAAGGTATGAATATAATTGTTTCATATACTATCAAGGGTTAATAATGACAATATTTGTCATTATTAACTCCTGCTTGCACTGGTAGAGGGAATCAGCAGCTTACCCGCAGAGTACTTACCATGCAAGGCTATCATCAAGGCTATATTTTGTAAAAGGTATGAATATAATTGTTTCATATACTATCAAGGGTTAATAATGACAATATTTGTCATTATTGACCTATGATACTATGAAAGCCCGAACGATAGTCAAATCAAGGGAAAAATTATTCAAGTGAACTGTGCACCCGACTGCCATTCACTGTAATTATATGTTGTGTATGATGCACGTTTCATCAAGAAAGAATGCTTGACAATGTTACGATTCAAGAAGCGTTCACAGAAGATGCCTTAATAATACAAGCGGAAAAACGTGTAACCATCACTGTCACACACAGAAGGATGCATGGGTCTCCTAACTTGGCACTGTGACCCAAGACTAGCATCTTAACCCACACCACTACTGTTAATTTTCCAACAGACATGCTTTATGTACGCGTGGGAACACGACCGGGAAAGACATGTGTCTGAGCCGCATTATTGTTTGAACATCCAACAATGGACCAACATACAACGAAAATCTGACTTACCTCTTCACACTACCGATGGTCGTTACGTCAAAGCTGACCCTGATCTCATCCTTGCCTTGCTCGATTAGTGCACCCCACACAATGCAAGCAAGATTTGCATTAATTAGGCTATGGCAACCTGTAAGGAACATGAAAGATTCATTACATATATGCATGTATATACTCGTAACGGCTGGAAACGAAAAATCGGGATTGCGGTCCCGAAAGCTGAGACTGTGGAAAGGCATATTTCGCTATTAACACACACATTATGTACATCCACCATCATCCAGACTAGATGGCAAGCAAAGACTACTTTTATGGACTGGTATGCTCCTGACTAAAAATAATAAATAGAAAAACAAATACGTGGCAGATTCGTCGCAAAATACACTAGACTATTGACAACAGTCTACGTGGTTCTTGTAACGGAAGCCAATCTCCAATTACAAGAGCCGAGCAGTAAGAGACAGTGATAGGTGGTAAGCTAACCACAAGGCAGAAGGAATGAGCTGTATCTGTCTAGACAGTGTATAAACTGTCTCTAATGCCATCAATGGTGCTTGCTGAGAAAAAATGAGTTCACATTAAGTTCATATCAGGTAGATGGAAAGCCTGGCCAGTATATTGATTTAGGAGCAGTAAGTGCAGACTGGGCATAGTGGATACCACGCAATTCAAAGCCAGCCTACAGCTAACCCTGCCTAATTAAACCAGGCAAAGCCTCCTTGCAGACAGATTCAAATATCAGACTAGATTGCTGGAGTTTCAACACTGCCTGCAGAATATAGCATTGCGTGGTCAGCCTATAAGCAAAGCATGGTTACAATTATTACTTATAATGGTTACCATGTTTCATCTTCTATCTAAACTAGTAAAAAGATGGACTTGCTACGATTTTTAAATACAATTCACTTGAAAACTGAAGCAAAAGTTAATTCAGGAGAAACATGACCTCCCACACATTACAGCCAGCTACATGTTAGCGTGCAAGGTTCAATCTGTTAGAATCTTTTTGAAATGATTCTTACCTGTCTATAAACCCAATTTCGCAAATATACAAGTTAATTAATATGTATAACTGAGAGGGCTACGTGCAGCAAGCTCTTGGCGTTGGTTCAATCAGCAAACCCATGCTTGATGGCAATGTGCTAACTCTTTCATGCCTACACCAGCAAACAGGTAAATTAACAAAAAGGCTTTGCACTGCATTTCAAAGAGGCGGGGATGCTGCTGCTGCTGCTGCTGCGCTAGCACAATACATAATTTGCCAATCGTGAAGCTAAATGGACGGCATTTGCTTTTCGCGCCGCCACTAGATGTCGCTCGCAGTTTGAACGAGCATCCGGAGCGAATTTTTTTTTGCACTCCTCTCGCAGATATCAGATAGACAGGAGCTACGTGATTGGGTCAAGTTTCATGAACCGTTATAGATGAAAACCCACCCATCCAGCAAACACTTTAAAAATTTTAGATTGTGAGAGAAAAGTTAGTACAGTTTTCGGCTGAGCCACAAACATGCACTTTGGTGGCTAGTGATGTTCAATCCTAGACACACACAGGTGGGGAGGGAGCGCCTTCGTTTAGTATCTGGTGAGACATAGACGACAGCTAAGAACACTTGCCAGACAGCGACAGACAAAAAACCCCTTCTATGGCTGTGAAGCCTACAGCCGTATGGCGATACAGAAAGTAGTCTACAGAGGCGAGCCAAACCTGCTATAACAAGCAATGAGGAGAAAGGCCAAATCCATCACAACGTTACCTGTACATCATCGGCTATCTGAACCAAATAGGTGTCGAAGAAGGGGGGGGGAGGGAGGTGTCCATTGGCGAGAATAGAATATATTTAAAATATTCGTCATTACACCAATCCTGCTGCAGTTCCATTTTGTAATGAAATAATTAAAGGCTCGAAGTATTCACTGTAACTAATGTACATAGGTCCTTATTGAGGTATATGGCTTGAAGCTTTTCTTATATTTAACTTGTTCTCATTTTTATAGATTTTACTTATGACTATCCATTATACTAAACTATCCCATATAATAAATAAATAAATAAATAAATAAATAAATAAATAATATATATATATATATATATATATATATATATATTCAAACAATGGTGAATCATTGCCCAGTGCTACTGAAATTAAATAAAACTTTCATTGTATAATATTTATGGGTTTTCTGGAATTTTATAACAAGGGAACAAAGGTATAAGCACATTTTAAGCAATAAACCAGCCTTTTTACTGTGCAATCTTCATACATTTAGTTTCTATTTAGAGTGATATCCAGTAAACATCCATTTAAACTGCAACTATCCAACTGCACGAACAATACACATCTCACCATCACTGCCCAGCAACCGGCCCCTGTGAATTATCCAGCCCGCTATACCTTATATATCAAGAGCGCTTATATCAGTTTAAACTGGAGCAGACGATTTTTAAAGAAGTGCCACCTGTGCCGGAGATGACAGTTGCGGAGACGAGCGTGCAGGTGCGGGCCTACGCTTCTCACCTGCCTTCCGAGTCACCACTCGACCGACATAAACAGCCCACACCGCCCTGTACATCTCACGACGCGGCCGGCCGAGCTCCCGAACTGCAGAAATGACCACGCAAAACCTTGACAATTTCTCTCCGCCAAAATTTGCTACGGAAATCAATGCGTAATGTGGAGATGATAGTGCCTTACGCGTGTGGCAGTTGATGAACCCCGTTGAGGTCACGTCACACTGGCAGACCTGCCCTATCCTGCCCAGACAGTGGGAACACTCGGGATAGGAAAGGGGTCATCAGAGATTAGGCTAAGCCTTCCGTGATTTCCAAAGTGAATGTCAATTAGTATGCGGTAGCATCAAAGCTAAACAAAAAACCGCCCCTTCTCTCGATCGTTATGACAGTAACGACGATAACTATATATTTGCACGAGCCCTTTACTAAACCGACCACCCCGACGGATAGATGCAGAGGCTGAGCAGTACACAAATTGGCCTCATTAAAAATCTAGCAATTTATGAAAATAATTAGTCTTTATTTTGGGCTCTGTCTGCACGTGCTGTGTTAAGATTTCATCTCCTTTGCGTGCGGCTTGTGCCGCAAAATACGCGAAAAATTTAATCTCAATCAAAGAGTCGATTAATTTTAGCCCCTCCAAACCAAGAGTCTGCAATGCCTACGTGAGTGTCACCAGCCCACATGGCAGTCCCGGCGAGTGGCCACAGTTATTTTCTTTAGTTTCTTAATGCCATTTCGATCGGGTTATTTCAAACATGACGAACCCTCGGCGATCCCTTTTCAAAACTTGTGAAACTATGAAATTTGAAAACAGCTACCCCTCCCACTAGCTGAAAAGCGCGGGCAAACACAGCAGCCGTAGAGCGCGTTACGTACAAGCGGCAGCAAAGACGGTTGGGGACCCCTGACCTTTCACGTGCATTTCTCCTATGTGCCACGTACGTAACTATCTGCAAACACAGGTAACGATTTACGACTATAACGAATTTACCCTCAGAACCTTACCCAATCAGCAAGTGCAACAGGGGGGGGGGATTTTTTTAGCCAAGTCATTCTGCACACCGGTTACCAAAATCAAGCTTAGTAATAGTACTTTCATATCGTATATTCCAAAGTGCAAGGCTCGAGACGAAATCAAACACACCACATGACCGAAATTTCAGACACGCATAAGAAACAACAGATGAAAACAAACACGATACCGACTACAATTTTGAGCTATTCGTGACATAAGCTATTTGCAAAAATGATGATGCTATCTTACTGTCTGTCTACGCCAACAGCTCAGCGGCTATACAAAACCTGCTATGCCACCAATATAATTCATAAATCATCGCTAAACCATTAAACTATAACTGGTTTAGACGGATGACACATCACAAAAGCATTGACCGTTTAAAAGGTACACGTTTTGAAATTGAAAAGGAAATATTTTGATTATGTCGCCTGATACAGTTACACCACCTTACTTACAATATACTTCAGCAGCCAACCACATTCACGCGAGATACCCTACGCGAAATATTTTAATAAATCAATACGAATTAAAGAAGTGGCTCAAACGAACGTAAAATTTCATTTCTAATCGTGGCACTGCACTCTTTGCGATCGACTCGCTGCAAAGAACAAAACCCCAGCGTGGTAGCCGCACATAAAACGTTTACAGGCAACAGACAACAACGGACAGAGAAGCACATGCACAAACACGTACGCCAGCACGCCTGCAGGTACGCCAACGCTCACAGACACATAGACAGTCAGACGCACACATACACGTGCACGCACGCACGCGCACGCACGCGCACGCACGCACGCACACGCTCCACGCTCGCTGCTGTCCACGCGGCAGACGACACCACATTTTCGTCGAGCAAGCGAGGAAGCTAAGCAGGCAAAATCAACTTACGCTCGTTCTGGCCGGCGCAGCCCAGGTTCAATGCGAGACCCTGACGTGACCGATGCCGAGCGCAGACAGGAAAAGATGTCTCCTACACTGACGCTGATGCAATTTCCCAGAGCACACACGTCTCGCCAGGTCAGATATTGACGTACTTCGAGCTGAAATGCACACAAGCAGAGAACACTTGCCGCACAAAACCGAGAGCGCCATAAAAAACCCATTCCCATCTGCACCAATAAAAGCCTGAACAGTCAACGTGCTGCAAGCCAATGTTTTAAAGCCGGCGAGAAAAAAACAGGTATCCAACGAGATCAGTGGTTACCAACAGACATGGCTGAGAGGCTTTTGTGGCATGCTACAGACTGTACACGTATGCACTCTAACCCCTTCTACACGCATGCAGAGAGCGAACATGGTGGCACACAGACACGGCTCAGACGTACAGGCAGGCACACGAGAGCACAGCCACACGTGATAGGCCTATAACCCCATCACTGTGGCCTGCCAGGGGGTTTTACTCCACGAAAAAAACAACATCACTTTTCGTCTGGGGCCTGTAAGGGATGCCCAGCCGACTAGATTTCGACAAGAGCGGTCTATGTTTTTTAAAGCGAAACTCACTAGGCAGCTGCTATCAGTTGAACTGTTAGTCACTCGTCATTGCGAGTTTCACCGAAAGCGGAGACAATGGTTTTGAATGTGAATGCTTAATG